ACCGCAGAAGAGACAAAGGTTGTTCTTCATCCTTCTTTCCTTCTCGGAGGGAAGGACTTTCCCATCTGCACCAAGATGGTTGAACGCGGGGCGCTGACCGCCGGATTGGCCGGAATTCGAAGAGTTCTGGGGCTTACCATTGTTGTTAGGCTTACCACCAGAGAAGGGTTTAGGCTTCGGCGTGAATGGCGCCGAAGAGCCAGATGGCTGAGAGTTGTTTTGCTGGTTAGTAGAACCAGTCTTAAAGTCCGAGGAACCCTTCTTTGGGTTCCGAGCAACAAAAGGCTTACCAGCCTCACGCTTTCTGGTTTCCTCACGTTTCCAATAACGGTTGTCAATACGAAGAACTTCCTGACGATAAGCGGCGAGTGTCGCCGGCTCGGGCAAACACGCCATTTCATCCTTGATGTGCTCAGCTAAGCCTCGTCCATAAGCCCATTTCAGGGCAGCAGAATCCCAGTTGGTACTCGCAGCCAGGGTGTTGAACCAGATGTTGTATTTCCGGATGTTCTTGGTTTCCTTCATCTTCAGGAGAGAATCTTCGGCCTCGCCTTGGGCGTCGTAAACGCCGAAATTATCCTGGAGCTCTTTTACAAGGGCTTTGAAGGAGGACGTCCAGGCCGGCAGCGAGTCGAGATCCGGGTCGAGGATATCAGGGACAAACCATTCTTTGGCTGACCCACTGAGATAGGAAAGGGTGTAGTTCACCTTCCGTTGATCGGTGAAATACTTGGGACGGTCATTGAAGACCAGGGCGAGATTGACGAAGAACGTCTTGAGTTTTCGGCGATCCGAACCATCGAATACCTCTGGCTCCTTGACCTTGCTCTTGGATTCAGAGCTGTCAGAGGGACGGCCGAGAGCGGCAAGGACGGTACCAAGGGTCTCAATGGAACCCTTGAATCCCGAGAGGAGTTCCAACATAGCACGTTGCTCGTTGGGAATGTCAGGAGAGATAGGAGAATGGGGTCCACCAGGTCCACCAGGTCCACTGGGGTCACCAGGCTCACCACGCGGTAAACCGCCGGAATTGTCATCCAGGTCGTCATGATTGTTATCGGCGCCCGGATCGTCGGGGTCGACAGGAGGGTCTTGATCATTGTGATCACCAGTGTCCAAATCGAAGTCAGGAGGTGGGTCACGAGGAGATTCAGAAGCAGCGCGACGTTGGGGTTGTTTCCCCGTACAACGGGCTATGGCTTGGAGGATTGGAGAATCAATTCGAGTAGTAGACCGGCCCCGAGCCGGAGCGACCACGGGGGGTTGTCCACGGCGAGGGGTCAGGACTTGGACAGGTTGTCCCTCACCAGTGTACAAGGTGCTGTACTCAAATTGTTCTTCTTCTTCCATGGCTTCAGGAAGAGTCGACGTAGTAGGAACAGTGGCTGGACCGAAACCGCGATTACGGCGACGTGGTTGCCCGATGGCAGAGATAGAGTCGGAGAATGGGGCAAATGATTGGGCTGTGGTGAAGAAAGTGTTTTCTTCGGAGTTAGCTCTAGATTGAGCTCGAGTTTTCGGAGGCATAAAAAATGATAGGTCAGAACGACGTTAACGGATTGAGCTTAATTATACTGTTAAGATCATGTATACCGTGTAACCGTGCCAAAGCCACAAGGTGTCTAAGTGCGGAAGACGAGTGGGACAGTAGTGAAGTTATTAACAACACCGCCGTTACGCCGCTAGTCCCCGGAGATCAAGAGTAGAGAGAGAGGAGCTAAGTAGCAGCCAGGTCGGAGCGGCGGTATCGCCGATGACAAGGAGCGAACCAGAGGACGTTAAAGTCCTAAGGTCGAGGAGAACGTACTTCAAGGCGTTGAGCCTGAAGACTTAGAGAAGAGTCAAGTTGAGAAGGGAGATCTAAGTTGATAATTAAACTGAGGAACTACAGTAGCGTACAAGCAGTATTTATATCTACGGAGCGGCGCAGCGGGGCGGAGCGCCAGACTAACTACTAGGAGTTATACGTGTAGTCCTGCAGGGTAAAGTAAAAGACAATAAAGAGGGACTAGAGTGAAAGGGTATGTGTAGCGAGAAAGAACAATAAGGAAGAGATTACAATAAAGGTGGATCTTTGGAATACCGAGCGGCGGAATGGAGGCCCGAGGCATGGGCTTGACAGATCTATTGCTCCTACTAACAAGATGACTGGTCACACTTACTTCCGATTGCCGAGTTCGCCTATAACAATGCTCCCAATGCTTCCACTGGTATTACTCCATTCTTTGCTAACACAGGATACCACCCTAACATCACCGTTTGGCCCGAGATCAACATGAAGTCTGACCTAGTCAGAGACTTCATTGTTAACCTTGATGAACTCCATGTCTTCCTTCAAGAGGAAATCCTTCTAGCTCAATCTTGTTACAAGGAACAAGCTAACAGGAAAAGAATCTCACACCTGGAGTTCCCAATTGGCTTCAAAGTATTTGTTCTGGCTAAGCATATTCAATTTACTCATCCTACTGAGAAATTCTCTTAAAAATATCTTGGTCCTTTCAAGGTCATCAGTCGACCTGGTACTTTATCTTATGAGCTGAAGCTCCCGGACTATCTTTGCCGCATCCACCCGGTTTTCCATGTTTCACAGCTGCAGCCAGTTACATCGAACCCGTTCCCGAATCGTACTCAATCTCCTCCACCTCCAATTGAAGTTGATGGTGAAGAGGAGTACAACGTTGCCAAAATCCTGGACCCCAAGTTGGATAGAAGGTACAAGTGTTGTCCTCTACATTATTATATCCGGTGGGCCGGTTACGAGGGTACCGATGATGAATTCTCCTGGGTTGCTGCGGATGAATTGGTACCTGCATTTCATGCTCGATACCCTTTAAAACCTGGACCTTGATCACAAAAAACATTTTTCTTTTCCCCAAATTCCGGGCTCTGCCGCAGTTTACTTCGTTGCGTGGAGAGGGTAAACACAATGATAGCAAATTGAGCATTTACCCTCTCCCTTACATTGCTTACTCTCTCCTTTGTATTGTTCATTTTCACTTTGTATTACTGATTCATTTGATTCATTTTAGTTATATTCATTCACACTCAAAACTACTTATACTTCAAACTAATTATTCTTTCACTGCTTTGCGGCCCGTTAATTTTCAGCATCAAAATACAATAACATTTTTGTATATACAAAAACCAAAAAATATGTAATGGAGGGCCGATGTCCGATGTCCGTATTCTACATTACTCAGCCCTCTCCTTCCCCTTCTACAATCGCGCCTCAGTTGTAGTTCCTCAGTTTCATTATCAACTTAGATTATCCTCTTAATGTTCTTGACTTGAGACTTCCCCTGTACTCTTGTCAATCTCTAGTCTTCAGGCTTGTCACCTTGAAGTACTTCTTACTCTAGCCTTAGGACTTATAAGCTCTTTGGTTTGCTCCTCATCATTGGTGATACCGCCGCTCCGACTTGGCTGCTCCTGGCTCTCTTCTTCTCTACTCTCAATCTCCAGGGACTAGTGGCGTAACAGCGGTGTTGTTCATAACTTCACTACTGTCCCATTCGGCCTTCCGCCCTTAGACACCTTGTAGCCTCTGGCACGGTTATATGGTGTACATGATCTTAACAGGGACCTCCCTCCCGGGCTTACACTCCATTGGGAGCTCTCACATTTGGAACCCACATCAACTACGATCTACAGCAATCCTACGTTGACATTCCTAGCTAGTACAACTCATACTATGTAGCACTCTTATGTCTACTGATTCCCGTTACTTCTGCCTTCCCTCGTTATGCCCTAGGGACCTCCCAGAACCTACTAGGAACCCCTTCAAGGGTCACTTCTCTCAATCCGAGCTATTACTAGGTCATTTCTGTCCTTGGTCGCAGTTCCTGTAGCTCCCTTCAAGCTCCAGCTTGCTCCTAGCACACTACAACATAAATCTCCCATACTAAATCCACCCCTAAGACCAATTCTGACCCAGGTCTTACACACTTATCTATCAATTTATTCTGTGTAACATATGTTATATGTGTGACAAACAATGACAGGTGCTATTTGCACCTGGTACATGCCCAGTAGCACAGATCATTAATAAGTAAGGTTCCACTGTCTTGTTATTGTTGATCAAGTGTATGTATTATCAAATACCTAGCAATTTTTTCTATACATCCGGATCTACAGTTATTATTATTATTTCCATACTCATACTTATCATGTGAATTATTCACCCTCATGCTCTTCATGCATCATCACTCTCATTCTTATCACCTTAATCATCTTCACCCCGGCTCATGCATCATCCCCACGGACTCCCAGCATCCTCCCCATATCCAAGTCTGTTCCTGGAACTGTTTGTGGATCAGGTAAATATAGATCGGGTAACCCAACACCAGTAAACACAGTGATCCTACTCCCATGAAAAAAAGATCCATTGTTGTCATCAACCCACCAAAGCCAGTTGGATGAAGCAGTGGTAGTAGCATGTGCAGTGAAAGGGGTAGTGTAGGTGCTTCAAGAACAACAGTGGGTACAATCCCAACCTCGTTTTCTGCCCCCCCTTAACTCCTCTAGATGTGGGTATGTATTGGAAATTTGGAATTTGGTGGTGTAGCCATCCCTTCCCCATCTTTACCTCCTTTCTCCTTCCCAATCCATGTCTCCCCTCCCCACCCGGCTTGCATAACTCAGCAGCCTCTGCACCCCTGCCACACTCCTCCAAAACACCTCTGGACTGCATCCCTTGGTAAGCTGCTCAAGATGTGTGTTGTCTACATACATAGCGGTGTAGTACATATCAGCCTACTATATATATCAGTCTAATACATATCAGTCTAGTACATAGCAATCTACACAGTGGTGTCGACGTTGACAGAACAGAGAAGGAAGAAAGCAGAATTCAGCTAAATCTAATCTAATCTAATTTAGTCCAAGATAAGCGCTGTGAGAAAAAAGCCGGGACCTCTCTTGATCGGTATACACCCCGAGAGCGTCTAAGCGTCTAAGCGCTTACGGATTATGCAATTATGGAATTATGGAATAAGCGCTCTGTCATCGATTTTCCTTCCTTTGCATCCATCTGTATCGAGAATCGAGTATAGGATCGAGTATCGAGAGTGGAGAATCGAGAGGTCGTGTAAAGGAAGGTTAGAACTAGGTGGAGACATATACAAAACTACGGGTTGCTCACGGAGGTCTTAACGTTATTCAGGCAAAACTACGTGGACCTTACAGTACGACGCTCCTACATTAACAACAACCACAACAACATCGAGACTGCAGTCAAACGAAGGAACGAACGAACGAACGACGTTTGGGGCGTCTGCGGGTGGTAATCGATACCCGTTGGAAACACGGAACGAACGAAACTAGGAGGGACGTACAAACGAACGAACGAAACAAGGACGAACGAACGAACGTACAGTGAAACTACGAACGAAACAACTAAAGTAACAGAAGAGGGCAAATCTTCCAAACGACACGGGATTGGGATGTCGGATCATCACCGTTTTTCTACCACCACCACCGCCTCCCAATCCTCCAACCCATTAAACTCCTCCACCAAATCCTCCTCGTCTTCGACACTCACCCCCTCCTCCCCAATCGACAAATTCCCCCCCTCCTCCTCCCTCTGTGACTCGGACTCGGACTCGGACGGATGGCAGGACATGCCGATCGTGCACACTGATGAGCTTCGAGGGGGGTTGGACGAGGAGGATCAGCGGAGGTATCATTATCGGGTTAATGAGGGTGGGAGTGGGGGTAGTGCGAGTGGGGGTGGGGGTAAAGGAGAAGGGAGTGGGAGTGTGGGTGGGGGTGAAGGAGGGAGTAGGGGTGGTGGAAATGCAACAGGCACGACGTTGGATACAGACGAATACGGGTATAGGTGGAGATCGAACCCTATGCAATCCAACACCTCCTCCTCCTCATCGACAGAGCAACATTCATTCACCACTGAATCAAACTACACCCGTCTCCGGCACGTCGAAGAAGACTGGGAAGAGTCCGCATCGGTGGTGGCGACTTCGCGATATCTATTCCACGACCATTACGCTTTAGAAGAACGCGGGGGGTACGCGATAGCGGACGATGATGGGAAGGCGATAACTCCTCTATCGCAAATGCAGCAGACGAAGGGGTTGTTATCGGAGAGTCAGCGAATCGCGTATGTGGGGTTATGTGCTGTCGTGATCCAGGATATGATCCGTGCACTCACCGTCGAGGAGACGACGAAGGTGAAGGTGAAGGTCAAGCAGGGGGATGGGACGGTGGGGACTGAGGTGAGGGTGGTGCCGAGGAAGGTAAAAGGGAGAGACGGGGTGGAGAGGGGGGTGGTGAAGAAGGAGGTGAGGGGTGCGGTGGGGAGTATGGAGGTGTGGGCGTTGAAGATATTGGGAAGGCTGTATTATCATATTGGAGTCGAACCACCCGAGCAGAGTATGATTCAATCTCTGTCGAAACATGGAGTGAGGCCGGAGGATTTAGTCCCCCCCTTGGTGGAGATGAAGGAGGTGGTTAACCCCGAATGGAGTTATATCCACGATTCGAAGATAAGTGGTGAAGAAGAAGTTCCGAAATACATCACACTCGACATGCGATACACACTCCTCACCGACCTCTTCCTCATCCTCATCGCCGACTCCGTGTACGACTCCCGTTCGCGATCTCTCCTCTTCCGCGTCGGGTCCCACCTCTCCCTCTCATGGTGGGACATCGTCGTCTTCGAAGGCCGCATCGTCGAAGCCGTCGGCGCAGGCGAAGGCGTCGGGGAATCCGGAACCTCCGACTCCGACTCCACAGACGGAGGCGGAGGGGGACTCCAAAAAAGCGAATCCGCCGTCGCAGACCAAGTCCGGCGTCTCCGAAATCGACGAATTGCCCTCCTCGGACTCGCCACCCTCGGTGGAGGCCTCGTTATCGGTCTCAGCGCCGGACTCCTCGCACCCGTCATCGGCGTTGGTCTCGGAACCGCATTCAGCACTGTCGGTCTCACCGGTGCATCTACGTTTCTTGCCGGATCCGCCGGCGCAGCCGTTATAACAACTGGAGGGGTATTGACCGGTGCCGGCATCGCCTCCAAAGGCATGATCCGGCGCACCCAACTCGTGCGTGTCTTCGACGTGCTCCCTGTACACCAAAACCAACGCGTCTCGTGCGTTCTGTGCGTTCCGGGGTTTCTTAACGGTGCTCTCGACGATCCGAGATTACCGTTTTCCGTGTTGGACCCGGTGGGGGGGGATGTGTGTGCGGTGCTTTGGGAGCCGGAGATGATTCGGGAGACGGGGGGGGCGTTGGGGATATTGACGGGGGAGGTGATTTCGCAGATTGGGCAGACGGTGTTGCAGGCGACGGTTATGGGGGCGTTGATGACGGCGTTGCAGTGGCCGATTAGTATGTTTCATCCCCATTTCCTTCCCTTTTTCTAATTCCCCTCCTAGTTCTGACGAAACTCGGATACCTAATCGACAACCCCTGGTCCAACGCCCTCGACCGCGCACGTGCAGCAGGTCTCGTCCTCGCCTCCGTTCTGCGCTCAAGACAACTCGGGGTGAGACCCATCACACTCATCGGGTTCAGTCTCGGCGCACGAGTTATATTCTACGCGCTCCTCGAGCTCGCGAAGAGTGGGGGGTATGGCATAGTCCAAGACGTCTTCCTCCTCGGCGCCACACTCAGCGTAAACACCTCCCTCTGGGAACAGACCCGCTCCGTCGTAGGCGGGCGATACGTCAACGCGTATGCACGCAATGATTGGGTGTTGAATTATTTGTTTAGGGCGAGTAGTGCGGCGAGTGGTGAGTTTGTGGCTTGTTTGTTTGTTTGGGGTGAGGAGGGGAGGTGGTGGAGGGGTTGGATTCTGGTTTCGTTCCTTCGTTCCTCCTTCGTTCCTTCGTTCCTCCTTCGTTCCTTCGTTCCTCCTTTGCTCGTTCCTACTTTATTCCCTTAGGAGTTTATTTGGAGAGTTTGGAGGGTTTGAAGGGTTTCTGATTCCTCTATTCCAGGAAACGTAAACACCGTCGCAGGCCTCCGCCCCATCGAGGGCGTGCAGGGGCTGGAGAATGTCGATGTTACTGATAAGGTGAGGGGTTTCTTCTTCCTTCTTTCTTGTGTGGGGTTTTGTGTTTGTGGGTTTGTGGTTTGAGTTTTGTGTTTTGTTGTTTCTTTCTTTGAGTTTTGTGTTTTGTTGTTTCTTTGTGGGGGTGGGTTTGTGTTTTGTTGTTTCTTTCTTTGTGTGTGGGGTTTGGTTGTGGGGGGAGTGGGTTAGGGGTATTCGTTTCCTACTCCAAATTCGTTTCGTTTTCGTTTAATTCCCGTTTCGTTTCGTTTAATTGCGTTTTGCCTTTTCTTTTGCTTATCCTTTCCCTTTTCGTTAATTCCTTCCTTTTTTTTTCGCACATTCCTTCCTTTTTTCGCTTGTTCCTTCCTTTTTTCGGTCATTCCTTCCTTTTTTTCGCTCATTCATTCCCTTTGCTTTTCCCGCTGGTAATTCCTTCTACATTTACTTTATTTCTCGCTGATTGCCCTTTTTCGACTTGTTTTCCTTCGTTTACGTTTCATCCCCCAACCCGCCCACCCCCCGACTTGCTTCCTTCCGACTTGATTCACCCCGACTTGGTTCACCCACGACTCGTTTCCTTCCGACTTGTTTTCCTTCCGACTCGCTTCCTTCCGACTTGTTTCATCCCCCAACTCGTTCACCCCCCCGACTCGCTTCCTTCCAATTTCCGAACTTCGTTTCGCTTGATTCTTGTTTTTTCTTACGACTCGTTCCCTCTCCCTCTCCCTCTCGCGTCTTATCCCCCGATTCCTTTCCTTTCACCCTTCTTGTGTATCCGGAGTTTTTCGTTTTTCCTGGAATTATTGATAACGGAACAACTAACTAACTAACTAACTGACGTGTTGCTTTTTCTCCTTCTTCTTATCCTCCTGCTCCTGCACCTCCTCCTCCTCCCTTACTCCCCTCACACTCTCCTTCCCACACTCTCCTTCTCCCCACTCTCCTTCCCACATTCTCAATCCCTCTTTCTCATTCACCTTCCCACACTCACTCCCTCTCACCCATACACCCAGATCGCAGGCCACATGTCCTACCGCGTCTACATGCCGGTCATCCTCGAAGAGCTCGGGTTCAAAGTCACAGAAAGGTGGTTCGACGAGGTCGAGGTGAGTAAGGGTGTTGTTTTCGTAGCTTGTATGTCGTTTGTAGTGTCGTGTCGTGTCGTTTCTCTCCCCGGCTGTTTTTTTGAGACGAGGGCTTTCCCCGAGCTTTTTTGAGCGGAGGGGGGGGGTTTTTTGTGGGTTTGATTGATTGATTGACTGAGTGACTGATGGATATCGTTGTTTCTTCCCGTTCTCTTTGTTCTCTTTGAACCCAGGAACCAGATTTCGAAGGCGACCGCGTCGTCCTTCCCTCCTCCTCCTCCACCTCCACCTCCACATCCCCCGACTCTACCAACCCCTCCACCAACCCAGACACGGACACCAACCTCTCATGGTTCGCCCGCCGAAAAGCAAAAGCCGCCGCCCAGAAGGAGAGGGAGCAGAGACGGAAGGAGGCAGAGCAGAAGAGGAGCGTGGCGGGTGTGCAGCGGCCGCCGAGTTATGCGAGTTGGGTGGGGAGGGGGAAGGGGGAGAAAGAGAAAGGGAAGGGGAAAGAGGAGAAGGGGAAAGAGGAAGGGAAAGGGAAAGGGAAAGGGGAGGGGGATGAAGAGCTTCCGCCGAGGGAAGAGAGGGACACACCACCTCTACCAACACGTATGGCTTCGCCTACACCCGTCCTCGGCTCTGATTCACGTTCCTCCACACCCACTCCAACACCCACTTCAAACTCAAACACCACCTCCTCCTCCTCTGCCACCACCACCTCCTCCCCCTCCACAACACCCCTGGTCGTCCCTCTAAACTCCGACCACATCGCCTCCCCCCTCCCCAAAACCGCCGGGTTCGATTTCGCTGCGATAAAAGCCGAGTTGAGGGAGTTGTCGAAGGGTGTGGAGGGTGTGGACGGGATTGTTCCTGCTTTCGAAGCACCCCGAGTAAGGGTGGATAAGGAACAAGGAATACAAGGAATACAAGGAATAGAACAAGAAGAACAAGAAGAAATCGTAGAATTCGGCCCCTTATCATCATCATCGTCTCCACCACCCACACCACCTACACCACCCTCGAAATCACCCGACGCGGGGTATTTCTCGTTTCCACCTACGACATTGAATACAACGACCTCGAATACGCCAGGTCTTACATTCGGGAGTGCGGATGGGGAGAGGATTACTGCGAGTAGTGGTGTTGGGTTACCGGATTCGTATTTACCTGATCCGTGGATGGTTCCAGGAACGGACTCGGATATGGGGAGGTCGAGGACGGGGGATGTGGGGAATCCGTGGGGATGATATATCTTGACGAGGTGAGGGTGAGGGTGAGGGTGAGGTGCGGGTGATAAGGATGAATGTGAGGGTAAATAATTGCACGACGAGCACGAAGATGAATAATGGTAGATATTGCTAAGTGTATGACAACACATACACATTTGATCAATACCAACAACACTGAACTCAAACTTAAACTAACCTTACCAATGAATTATTGCCGTTTTCAAAATAGTTGGCGCCTGTTCTCACAACGCCAAATTTGAGCACGAAACGATGGCCAGCTCGAAAACACGATCCTGAGCTCAATTCTTGACCAAATCTTTCGAAAATTAATGCAGTATCAAGCGATAGAGGTGCTCTAGTGCGCCCCATAGTTTTTTTTTTTGCAATTAGAAGTAGTGTACAATACTTGAATTTTCATGCCTCCTCAACTTCCGAAACACGATAACTTCGGGGGTACACACCAGTTCGAGCTGTCCTTGAGATATGCTATGCATATAGGGTCTGTGAAGTGCGCCCCATGTACAAAATCACATATCGGTCTGTGGTAAGTCAAGATTGAAATGGTTTTTGTGCAAGCGGCTGATATTTTGTAACCGCCAACTTGGCCACCTCTACCTTCCATGGGAAATGGCCGCAACCACCAACGAGGCCCTTAGAGCGGCACTGGGACTCGAACGCAGCGAAATACTTATACTAAGGCAAACTCACCCCAGCCAAAAAGTCAACATTCATATTCTGCTCCTCCTCCTCCCTCGCAAAAACCATGACCTCGACCAACCCCTGTTCACAAAGGCACACCTGCCAGAAATTGTAGAATTCGGACCCCACATCATCATCATCCTCGTTATCTCTCCCTCTGCCACCCACACCACCTACACCACCCTCGAAATCACCCAACGCGGGGTATTTCTCATTTCCACCAACGATATCGACAGTATTGACGGCATCGCCTTACAACAACAACAACAACGCATCCTCGGTATCGTTATCCTACAACCCTTTCGCAACTACACCTACTACTGGTACTACTACTACTACTTCGACCCAAGGTGGTTTCTCTACTCCTACTGCTACTGTTCCTTCAACTGCTTCATCCTCAACTGGCTTCGCTGCTACTCCTACCCCTACCACTTCAACTTCAACTTCAACCTCAAACCTACCTGCATTCGGTAGCTCGACGACAACAACAATGACGACGGGTCTTACATTCGGGAGTGCGGATGGGAGTCAGATTACGGGGAGTGATGGGGTACCTAGTAGTACTGGTCTTGGATTGCCTGATCCGTGGATGCTGGGAGCAGAGGATATGGGGAGGTCAAGGAGGGGAGAGGATGTGGGGAATCCGTGGGGATGATGAAAGTGAGGGTGATGATGCATGAGGAGGGTGAATGTGTATAACCGCATGACAAAGATGAATGAATAGATCTTTCATATCGTAGATCAAGATGTATAGCTATAGAAAAAAAAAGACTCTAGGCACCTTGAAAGAAAAGAGGCTTGAGAGAGTGGATGCTGGACGTGCTGAAACTTCGAATTGACGGAAGGGTATATTGTCAAATGTCGGGGGAGTGGTACTTGTCCCGGAGAATTTTGGGAGGAACCTGGAACCGCGATGGATTCGTCAGTTACGAGTCCGAAATGTAATGAAGGATTCGTCTTATGGTGGGTTCCAACGTGGGAATTGATTACCTCACCTTCCTTTTATATTTTTGACCTTCCTTATATATTTTTGACCTTCCTCTTTCAGCGATTTTTTTTCCCCCATACTTGGACTGTCACGCTTCGCGTCACTCGTCACTTCTCGTCACTCTGCGTTACCTATGGTGCCCCCACCTCCAACATCGTCTGCGCCGTACATCTTGCCGTGAATTCTTGGCTGCACTACATCCCCCTCTTGTCAAGTCCATGCCTCGGGCCTTTATTCCGCCGCTCGGTACTCCGAAGATCCACTCTTATTGTAATCTTACTCTTATTGTTCTTTCTCGCTACACATACCCTTTCGCTCTAGTCCCTCCTTATTGTCTTTTACTCTTCCCTGCAGGTACTACTCGTATAGCTCCTAGTAGTTAGTCTGGCGCTCCGCACCGATGCGCTGATCCGTAGATATAAATACTGCCTGTACGCTACTGTAGTTCCTCAGTTTAATTATCGACTTAGATCGACTTAGATTCCCTTCTTAACTCTGTGCTCCTCTAAGTCTTCAGGCTCTTCGCCTTGAAGTACTCTCTACTATAACCTTGGGACTTAAACGTTCTCTGGTTCGCTCCTCGTCACCGGCGATACCGCCGCTCCGACCTGGCTGCTACTTAGCTCCTCTCCCTATACTCTTGATCTCCGGGGACTAACGGCGTAACGGCAGTGTTGTTAATAACTTCACTACTGTCCCACTCGTCTTCCGCACTTAGACACCTTGTGGCTTTGGCACAGTTACACGGTGTACATGATCTTAACAGTATAATTAAACTCAATCCGTTAACGTCGTACTGACCTATCATTTTTTATGCCTCCGAAAACTCGAGCTCAATCTAGAGCTAACTCCGAAGAAAACACTTTCTTCACCACAGCCCAATCATTTGCCCCATTCTCCGACTCTATCTCTGCCATCGGTCAACCACGTCGCCGTAATCGCGGTTTCGGTCCAGCCACTGTTCCTACTACGTCGACTCTTCCTGAAGCCATGGAAGAGGAACAACAATTTGAGTACAGCACCTTGTACACTGGTGACGGACAAACTGACCCCTCGCCGTGGACAACCCCCCGTGGTCGCTCCAGCTCGGGGCTGGTCTACTACTCGAATTGATTCTCCAATTCTCCAAGCCATAGCCCGCCGTACGGGGAAATAACCCCAACGTCGTGCTGCTTCTGAATCTCTTCGTGACCCACCTCCTCACTTCGATTTGGATACTGGTGATCACGACGATCAAGACCCTCCTGTCGACCCCGACGATCCGGGCGCCGACAACAATAATGATGATCTGGATGACGATTCCGGCGGTTTACCGCGTGGTGAGCCTGGTGACCCCAGTGAACCTGGTGGTCCCGGTGGTCCCGGCGGTCCTGGTGGACCTAGTGGACCCCGTTCTCCTATATCTCCTGACATCCCCAACGAGCAACGTGCTATGTTAGAACTCCTCTCAGGATTCAAGGGTTCCATTGAAACCCTTGGTACCATCCTCGCCGCTCTCGGCCGTCCCTCTGACAGCTCTGAATCTAAGAGCAAGGTCAAGGAGCCAGAGGTATTCGACGGTTCGGACCCCCGAAAACTTAAGACGTTCTTCGTCAATCTCGCCCTGGTCTTCAATGACCGTCCAAAGTATTTCACCGACCAATGGAAGGTGAACTACACTCTTTCCTATCTCAGTGGGTCAGCCAAAGAGTGGTTTGTCCCTGATATCCTCGACCCAGATCTCGACTCGCTGCCGGCCTGGATGTCCTCCTTCAAAGCCCTTGTAAAGGAGCTCCAGGATAATTTCGGCATTTACGACGCCCAAGGCGAGGCCGAAGATTCTCTCGGTAATCTGAAGATGAAGGAAACCGAGAACATCCGGAAATACAACATCCGGTTCAACACCCTAGCGGCTAGTACCAACTGGGATTCTGCCGCCCTGAAATGGGCTTATGGACGAGGCCTAGCTGAACGCATCAAGGACGAAATGGCGCGTTTGCCCGAGCCGGCGACGCTCGCCGATTATTGTCAGGAAGTTCTTCGTATTGACAATCGTTATTGGAAACGCAAGGAAACTAGGAAGCGTGAGGCTGGTAAGCCTTTCATTGCTCAGAACCCAAAGAAGGGTTCCTCAGACTTTAAGAACTGGTTCTACTAACCAGCAAAACAACTCTCAGCCATCTGGCTCTTCGGCACCGTTCACGCTGAAGCCTAAACCCTTTTCTGGTGGTAAGCCTAACAACAATGGTAAGCCCCAGAACTCTTCAAATTCCGGCCAATCCGGCGGTCAGCGCCCCGCTTTCAACCATCTTGGTGCAGATGGGAAAGTCCTTCCCTCCGAGAAGGAAAGAAGGATGAAGAACAACCTTTGTCTCTTCTGCGGTGGTAAGCATCAGATTGCTGAGTGCAACAAGCGAAAGGCCCGAGAATCGAAGGGCCGTGCTGCCGAGGTTGAAGAAACCCCCGAAGCAACCGTTGAGGTTGTTGAAGAGGAATCGGAAAACTAGTCCACAGCTCTTGTTCCCCGGTACGAAACGGGAGCTGTGTTGATCAGGTTCGTACCTCACCTGGGGAGTTATATCTCAACGCGTCCGCTCTTTCTTCCATTGAACGATCTCTTGTAATATCTTTGACTATAATCTTTGATATATTC